ACCCCTCAATGCTATTTCTTCCTTTGAAATCCCAGCTATCTCTGTAGTTAAGGAGGAGTTTAAAGAACTTATTTTATTCTACTTTACATGCTGGTGATGTTGAATTTTCTAACTTGACATTCTAATGATGTTATTTTTCCAAGAATAGATTGAGAATTCCTACATTGGTCAGAATCACTGAATCTTACATATCTATATATATCCTCCCTACTCCCCTGCCTAACAGAGTTCCTGGAAAATAGCAGGCAATCTATACACTTTTCTTACTTTGGTACACTAAAAGGTAACTTCTCCAAAGGGTCCTGAGAAAATGAGTTATACAATGGTAACCGTGAATGTTAATTTTAACTTTATAGAATGTTAATTTTAAACTTCCTACTAATTTATCAACTATGTTCTCATTATAAATAGTTTAACAATTCTTGTATAATCCTTTAAAAATAAAATAATGAGCTGAGTATGGTGGCACTTGCCTGACATCTCAGCTAGTTGGGAGCAGAGGCAGGAGGATCCAAATCAAAGCCAGCTTGGGCCACTTAGCAAAACTGTCTCAAAATAAAAAGGGATGAAGATGTAACTCAGTGCAAAGGCACTGTATTCAGACCCAGAGGTGGGGGGGGGAGGCAAGAGTATTTCCACTAACAATTTCTTAATCAGATGTGTATATATTTTAAAACTAACTGAAATTGTGAAATCTGACCTTGCCAATACAGTAAGTGTGCCAAAAATAAGATTTTCCTTTTGAATGGTTTAGAAAGAAAAGTATAAAAAAAAAGCCTAGAAAGTGTAAGAAAACCTTTTCACAGTGAGAAAAGTTGTAACTTTTTTGTGTTTATAATGTAAAGGAGAAAACAGAATTTAATGAAAAGATTTAAGACAATAACTCAGTCATTTATCCAGAAGTCAGTGACAAGGCATTTATGCCACACAACCTCTTGTGTCTAACAGTACAAGGCATCAAGTTAATTATGGTGTAGTTCTCACCTTTCAGGAACTCAAGTTAAAGTCATAAAAGAGAACATAAGTAGTAAGAGGATGTTGGGTTATCCCTGGCTGGAGGAGTAGAAAAAAAAGTCACAGAAGACATGACCCTTGAACAGAGTTTAGAGTTTAGTGCATTTTGGGGATGTACAGAAGTAACAAAACCTATGGTTCTTTTTTAGACAGAAACTCTTCATCAAATAATAGTCTAGCAAACAGATGAGGACAGATTTGGAAGATATTTGGTAGGTAGAATCTAGAGGACCTGATAGATTTGATGGGGAGAGTTACATTTTGCCTTTCATTTGGTGGGTGTATGACATCAAATGAAAGCTAAGGCATCAGTTAGCATGACGTGATAGTGGAGGGATTACTCTAGCAGAGGCAGTCGAGAGACTCAATGCTTGGATGAAAATGTAATGGTGGAGTGAAGCTCTGGTTGCAAAGGCGGAAATGGCTAGCAAAACAAAGGCTGAGAAGAGAAAGCTCAACACCATCAAGGGATGCGAGAGCAGATGGTTTATGGGCATTGGGGCTGGGCTGTGGAGAGAAATGAAATTGGGCAGAAGGTGGAACTCTTTGTAGCCCCTATGTGGAATACAATGTTGATTCCCCTTGCAATGAGTAGTCAGCAGATTGTAAGCCAAGAAGTGATGTGATCTGACTGACTTTTTGCCTGCTATGTGGAGAATGGACTTACAGGGTGTCTTGTCACCAGTTCAGACTGAGAAAGGTCACCTGAGATTTGAGCAGTTTGAGAAAGAGACACATAGTTGTGGAAATGTCTGAATGTGCCTTTATTCTCAGGAGCTTCTCAGCTGCATGTCTTTGTGTGGCCATCCTCAGGCCCCTGGCCCACCCATTCTCACAGCAGTGCTCAGCCGCTTGTCTCCTGCCAGCCTTTGTGGGAGTCTACGTTTATACCAAAATACACAATAGTGGCCATGTGCCAGTAACAACTTTGGTTATGTAAGTTATTTACACCAGCCAGCATAGAGCTTGGTTATATCAGTTATTTACACTGAGACCGACGAGGTGTGCCAGCTCTGAAATCTTGTCGACTTCAACCTAATTCCACTGGAAATCACACCCCCTACAACCTGAACCCAAGTGTGGACATTTTAGATCTCCTCTCCCTACATAGTGGGAGAACGGAAGCAGAGTGTCCTGGTAAAAGTCCTGACTTAGACTGTTTTAAAAGTAATAATGCTGCAAAGCAGTTAGATTCCAGATTCAGAGGTTAAAATATCAAGACTTGCCAATGGGCTGGATGTGGATTGTGAGGGAAAGAGAGGACGCAAGAGTGCCCCAGGGGTTTCAATTCTAAATCACTACATAAAGGGCAGTGATTTTAAACAGAGATGATAAAAACGGGCAGAAAGAAGTTTCAGGGTGGTGGGGTCAGCAATCAACAGTTCTTCTGCACCTAAGTAAAGAAGGAAATGTTTAAAGCTTGTAAGCAATGCAAGCAATTGGATATACAGTCTAGAACTTCAGGTTGAGGTCTGCATTGAGAAATACTAGAAGTGGCATGAGTCTTGTTTTGGATTACATCTGGATGCTCTCCCAATGCCTCATTCCCCCAAGGCTGGAGCTGGTGAAGGTGATTAGACTACGGGGCACTACAGCTGGCTTGGTGTAGGTGGTGGGGTCTGGTGGAAGAGCCAGGTCACCGTGGGTGTGACTTGGAAGTCTTTCTCCTTGGCTCTGCAACTTTGCTCTCTGCTTCCTGGCTGCCAAGAGGTGAGCAGCTTTAGTCTACCAGCTTTCCTTCCACCAAGCCACTTCTGCCTGGAGCCAGCTGACTATGCAAAGACTGAAACTTCTAAAACATGATCCAAAATAATCTTCTTCTCCTTTACGTTGTAGGTATCAGGTATTTTGTCCTGGCCACGGGGAACAGAATTTAAAGCCATGAGACCAAGTAACACTCACCTTGACTGCACCAAGGTATGTGGTACAGAGTGTACAGCAATGTTTTGGTTTCAGATGCTTATGGTAATAATAAATGGTTATTTGGATTTTTGGTGGCAGAACATATACAGCCTCCAGAAGTATTTTATTATCTTCCTGCCTTGTAATTCAAACTTGTGGCCCCTTTTAAGGTGAGCTGTTTCCTCTTTGCTGTGTCAAGGAATTCTGTGATGGCAAACACTACCCTCGCACACCCAGAAGCTCCCAGAAAGCACTCTAGAATTTGGAATTCCTTTTATCAATGAATCAATTTTGAAACAATAATTGGGTCTGTAGACACATCCAATTAGTCACATAAACGCTATGGTGTTGGCTCTCCTCCCCTCAATTGCAGGTTGAAATGAAATCCTCACGATGGTCTGATTAAGAGGTGTGGCCTTTTGGGTGTGACTAGTCAGATGCGTGGAAATCTCATGAGTGGGCTTAGTTTCCTCAGAAGGGGCTGAAGAGAGCAGAGTTCCGAATGGACTCAAGGAGTAAACCAAAAGCAAACCCCTACCAGATACCAAATTGGCTAGCACCTTGATCTCAGGCTTTCCCCCACTCCAGAACTTTGAGAAATAAATTGTTTATATGTCACCAGGTATTTGGCATTTTGTAATAGTAGCCTGATGACACTAAGCAATTAAAGTCAATTAATCGTGGATGATTTCTGACCTAGTGTTCATTTCCAAAAGACATCAACCTTTATTTCCTATCAAAAGATGCTACTCATGGTTGGCACTCCCTAAATGTTTAAGTAAATGAAAGAAATCAAGTTATGGCAAAGGATAAGCCAGACATTTTTCTTTGTCTTTGGATCTATTTCTTTCATCACTACTTACTCAATCTTTGCATACTCCCTTAAGTATAGTCAATGCTTAATAAATATTTGCTGTGTACATGAATAAAATAATGAATGCAGTTTTATGGGAAAATATTTTCTTCATTTTTATGAATTTACTTCATATATTGTGTCTTCATAGATCATGTCTGAATTTATTTCATATATCATGTCTTAATTTAAGACATTTGCTCTCTGTGAAAAATATGAATATAAAAATTAAACTCTTCTTAAATATTACTGTCTACTTATATAACTCATGGTTGTAGTTATCCAATTAACAAATCTTTTAGTCAGCCTACCTGTGCTAGGAATTGGGGATTCCAAGGCGAATCAAACAGGCAAGGCACCTAATTTTACTGTAGTTATATATGACAATATCCTCCCATGCTACAAGTTTACAGGTAGAATATAAACAGAGGTGTGTTACCACATACAAAACTTTAAAATTCATGGATGTCCTTTCTACCATAATACTTAACATTTCCTTACATCTTAAAAATGATTATTTCAGTGATTAAATAATACTAATATATTTCTTATATAATGTGTAAAAAAGTATCCTAACTACAATTTCTTTCCTTTCTTTTTTTTTTTTTCTTTTGAGACAAGGTCTCACTATGCATTGTAGTTCAGGTTGGCCTTGAACTCACTATACAGCTCAGGTTGGCCTGTAACTCCAGTGATCCTCCTGCCTCAGCCTCCCTAGTGCTGGGATTGCAGGCCTGCACTACCGTGCCCAGCTCACCTAATTACATTTTCAAGTATCCTCAAGGAGAAAAGTTTTTTTTTACGTAAAAAGAATAAACACCGTAGCCTTTCTACAGAGCACTATTCAAAAGTATACTCTGACACTAGAAATGGTAAAGCAGTATAGTTCTGGATAGGCTGTTTTCAAGCCTTTTCCATGGTATCATGGTTTTCTATTTAAAATACACTAGAATAATCACTCAATTAAAAATAACTCAGATGCTTTAACTTGAGGGCCCTATTTTTTTTTTTAAACCAGAAGTTTCCATTTCCAGCACTAGGAAAAGCTTAGCACTTGGAAATTATCCCCTTCTGTGCTGGTATCCACTGTCTTTCAGCAGATCACTTGTTTATCAGTACAGGCATCTTTCTTTACAACAAAGCTGCAGGTACTATTTATCCTTGGAGGAATACATAACCCTCATGCCTCGTTCTGTTTCATCTTGAAGGACTATAACCAGGTTTAACTTACCTCCAAAGGTGGGCTGCCTTCTACTTCTGAAGTTTTATCTTCTGGCTCATTTGCTTTATCTCCTATGAAGCAAAAAAGACAGAAACTTAACCATACTACGAAGACTGAATTGTTTCTTATTGGTTTAAAGTATTTTTGTTACTGTAGGTTCCACATCATGCAAGGAGCCACTATTTCCTTTGTTACAGAGCAAACAAATTTTCAAGAATAGTAATTTTATACAGGTCTCATAAATCATCCATAAACACACAGCCTAAACCAGAAATATGTCCTACTTCATATAGGTTTACTCAAGGAAAATGAAATGAATTCATAGTTTTAGATCCAGTCAATCTCAAGTAAACTAAGACAGCTTATGACTTAGAGAGAGTAAAGCAAATTATTTTAAAATACAAATCCTTTATGATGTGAATAGCTGTCTTCTAAATTAGTTTTTCATATGGCTTACTCTTTATAAGTGTTCATATCTCAGTGGATTTACCTTGGAATAAATATGTACTGTGTATTCTATGTAATAATTAACCAAATGCCATAGGGTCTTTACTGCAGGAAAGAACAATAGACAGATGCACAAATCAACCTTCAGTGAATCCTCTGATTTCTAAGGTTGGTGGCTGGGGGGTTTACATTACCAAACCAACTTGTGACTAACCCTGACTTGAAGGACATAAGACAGATACATAGTTGGATGAATATAAACATAATGGACATATTAATGGCCTACTTTATTAATTATCACTAATGGCTGGTGATTAACACTTGACAGATGGACAACCTATTAGCCCACCTCTAAGAAACGTATGCAGAGGAAAATTTAGCAATATGTAAATTGTTCTTCCCATAAAATTGAGCCAGCTTAGGATGTCCACAGCAGGCAAGATTACCAAAGTGACAGATGACAATTTGACTGACCCAAACAGCCAGAAATCTGTTAATGTCAGGAAGGTCACAAGACTAAATTCAAGTATGAAAATCTTTGCTGAGCTTAACTTTTCCATATGAAAGACAAAAAGATCCACAGTTGTCAATGTGTATTTCAGTCTACCTGCTTTATCCTCAGTTGTGCGCAATGTTATCATTGTTGGGCATGGCCCAGCATACAGCAAGTGTTCAATAAATATTAGCTGAACAAACTGGTGAACTTCTTTTTGTAGTTTCTCACCTAAAAATGTGTGATTCTATCTATTAGATTTTATCTTTAATAGAATATGTACTTCAGCACAAAATAATGCTTTTCTTTTACAACTTAATTCTGAAAACTTGAAGGGTCAAATTTATCAAATACAACCTCTATGTATGGTTACTAGTGATCCATAATTGTGGCATCATTTATTAAATCTTAAACTAAATTTTTTCAAAAATCATATTGAAAGAAAACCATTAGCAACTCTAGGATTATGTCTCAAAATTTAATTGCTGTTAAGTGAAAAATTAAATTAACCTACTGTGGTAGATTAGCTAATGGTCAACTTGAAACGCCCAACTGAACCGAATCAGCATGGTTTGGGCCTGCAAGATCCACCTGAGGATGGCTGCCAATAGCCTTAAAAAGAGAACTGAAGGGGAAGATCTTCGGCTGCTGATTTTCTAGGAGAAGCTTGATGCAAATAGTTTTCCTGATGCACACTTGGCTGTTCTCTGAGGAGGAGCTCAGGGCCTCACTGTTGCTGGGAGTGGCTGCTGTTCTGGTTAGGGGAGCTCTGATCGTCACCATGAGAATCACTTCCTGGCTCCAATGTGGAGCTCTCAGCTTGGTGGCACAAATCCTTCATCTTCCCAGTGTAGGTTTTCTGGCTTCCACCACTGGCCTACTTAGGTGCAGATCCTCAATACAGACAAGGTGCAGATCCTCAATACAGGTGCAGATCCTCAATACAGACAATCCAGGTGCAGATCCTCAATACAGACAAGCATGAGACATTCCCGTGGGATCTAGGCCACTGGCTGCCCTCATAGAAGACATTGCTTTGAACTCAAAACCTTTAGGTGGACTTGTGTGGGACACTGCTGGGATCAAGGCCTTCAGCTGCATTCTTTGGGTCTCTAGTGTGCAGTTAATCTCTTGCATTCCTTTGCATTTGACTTTATGGGTAATTATCATAAAATAATCCTATAAATTATGTGTCCTGTATTTAATATATTCCCTTGCCAAAACCCTGACTACAACACCTACTCTTGTGATCTAGGATGTTGAATAACTATTTTGATTAACTTTAAGTGACTGACAGCTTGACCACAAATTGACCACTTATTGGCACATCTGGAAGAGCCTTTTTTTTTTTTCAAAGAATTGCCCCTTCTGTTTGAAAGTTAGGGATATAATAATCAACTCCTAGCTTATGGGTTAAGAAACCAGAGTACAAGGGTTTTACTTTGATTAGTTATAGGCCACATGAGCAGCCAAGGTAAGCTAAATCTCTACAATGAGGTCAGCATTATGTTTAATAATGAATATACCTCCCAAAACCCCACATATATATGACATGTGTGCATGACCCACTCACTATGGAAAGTCATTTATTCTAGGACAGATATTCATCTTTTAAAATGATTACTATTCAACCCAGACAGCTACACAAATGCTGTATTTGGCTAAAATCATCCAGCACAAGGTCTACACTTTGGCATTTTCTGATTTCAAGGTATATATCTACACAAAAGTTTCCCATTTCTCCCTACCATTTAAAAGATCAGAAAGGTCATCAGACAGTGTTTTAGATATCCCACAACGCATCTGGCTGGAAGTGATTGCAGAATCACTGTTTACTGAAATGTCATGTCTCGTGGTGACTCAGGACAATAACTGACTACAAGGAAAATTCCATTTGCAAGGTGATTCTCTAAAAACAGAAGTACAAAATGAAAGCTAAACAAATGACATAAGAAGATTATAATGAAGTATAATTTTTGAATTTTGTCTATTGAATTATTTTTCATGCTAAAATTCAGTTATTTTCTTTATTTTTATTTCTTTACTTTTTACTTTCAGAAAGTGTTTATTCTCTTAAATCCAATGCATTGAGAGGTTGCTTACATTTTAAATGTTTACCATTTCCACAAAAACTGTAGTATTATCTTTTTGTTTATTTGTTTTTTTGGGAAAGGGTCTTGCTGTAGTTCAGGCTGGACTTAAACTTACAATGCTGGCCTCAAACTCATGGCAATCCTATTTCAGCCTCCCGATTGCTAGGATTACAGGCATGAGCTTGTAATTACATGCCTTTTTTAGCATTATCTAAGTGAACCAAAATCAGTTTTATCATAGATGTAGCCAATGACTACTAATACACTTTTTAAAGGACTTAAATTCCAGAATTTCAGCACAGGTAGTTTTATTATGTCTTCTCTAGCTGACGATTTTTAAAAATAGTGTGTAGAAGTGAATAGTTTCAAACTAAATAAATATATTATACCATGCTATCAATCCATTATATCAAAAACAACTGCCAAGATGAGTACAGTTACAAAGAAATAAATCTGGCTTGAACAGAAATAATGCTGTTTGCAAAGCTGTTAACAGTTACATACTGACCCACATCTCCCAAGATTAACTTAAGAGTTGGAAGATGAGTTTCACATTAAGAATTTTAACTTCCTTTTACATTCATTTTAACATATTACTTAGATGTTTATATTTTATATTCATTTTAACATATTACTTAGATGTTTATATTTTATGTCACAATGGTGCTTTCCAGTGTGCACAATTTACTTTCAATTTGTGCATACACAAGTTACTAATATAAAGGATAGTTCATACTATTACAAACTATCCCTAAAAAGAAAAAATAAAACCACGCCCTACACAGAACTCTAAATATGGTATGACTTAGATTAATGCAACATGATTTAATATTTTAGTCATTTTATAAATACCAGCCTCTAAGTGTGTCTATTTAATAAATGATAGCTATAGCTTTATTCATTGAGGAAATTATGCATTAATTTCCTTCAATCATCTTTCCCACCTTATCTCAAAATTCTCTCTGACTTGCTCTTTTCTGATTCAGTGAATATCAAACTTTTTTTTTGAAAAGGGGACTGAAGGAAGGTGATAAACCTTAAATAGAAAAAGGTTCTCAGAATAATCCTTAAAATTTTTTTTCTCTTTGATACCATTTAAATATTATAGGGCCAGGGATTTAGCTCAGTGGTTCCACCACCTGCCTTGCAAGTGCAAGGTCCCAAGGTTGATCCCTGGTACCAAAAAAATAAATTAATAATAATAATAATAATAAAAATTATAAAGTTATTTACAAACTACTAAAGGGGTGGTTGGACCTACCAATTTGGAACCTAAATTTCTAAGTATGAGAACAGAAGAATAAAATACTTCAATATTCAATTCTGCAATTTAGGACAATTTTGTGATTTGACTAGACTGGTTAAAGGAGTCAAAAACACAATTCAATAGGTGCTTGGTTATTTTGCTTTTGGGGATGAGCAGTCAAAGAAAAGAATGACAAATGAAGCAATAAAAAATTCTGTTTTCCATTTTAAGGGAGGTGGTCATAGGATAATTTAAATCTTTGAAATCCATTTGACCTATTCAGGTCGAAGATGACATTTTACATTTTTTTTTTTAAATAACCCATTCTTTTCTTGAGTATCAAGCTGACTGGCAAACACATCTCCAAGTACAATCAATGCTTTAACAGCTTGTTGAATGAAATATTAGTAACATCAAAATGACAAATTAAATTCAAACTATGAAAAAGTCTACTCAAGTATTACATTCAGCTTTCAAATCATTTACTAACATGACAACAGATTTGGCTGAAATCACTCCTGCCTACACTCACACCCACAACAGACAGCTCAGCCACCAATCTGCTTTGCTCCACAAGGCCTTACAGCCAGAGATGGCATTCTCTAAGCTAAACTTTAAAAGATTTTAAAAAGTAATTTCTAATTTTTATAGAATAGCTTCTTCAAAAAATATTTTCTCTCATTCCCACATCTCCTACACTGAAGGTTATATAATGTTTCCCCTGCCAAGCTAAATCTGAATCCTCAAAATTGATTCCAGGCACAAAATCGCTGCAAATTATAATAAAAAATG